ATTATTATTAATGCGTAATTATTCCGGCAGTAAGGTTACCGAGTGTTTGAAAATAGCATTTTAAAAGTAGTGCATGGTGGTTTTCGAGCTACTTAGACATTGACATCGTCTAAATAAGGCATCTCTACCGAGGTAACCAAATCAATATCTGCCCTGATTTGTGGGTAGTGGTAAATTGAAGACTGAACCTTATAGGATGGGAGGGAGGCTAAGCTGATGTTATGACACGACTTTGGGGATATATCTGCTAAATAAAGACAAGGCCTGTGATGTTAAGAGTTGTCAATAAGTGTCTTTGTGGTATATACTTGCTACCAACGACACTATACTAGGATAGTACTGAATGTACAGGATCGACGCACCCTTAGCAAACACCAAAAGGTCTACATTACTCTCACCTGTCTCCTTGTACACTTGTACGCGATTCTTTGCTTCGTAGGCTGATTAACAATCCTATTTCTTTTGCAGGCAACGTTGACTTTAAGCGTCGCTCGCCTGGTTGCTGTGCAGGTCTTTACCTGAAATACGCACTGTACGGGTGGCTGGGACCTTTGATGATTGTCGTTGTCTCGTCTGGTCTAGACATCAGCCAAGTGTACAATGTTTACATTGGCTACGGTAAGGAAAAGCCCGGTTCAAATAACTAGACGTATCTTGGTACTGCGCATGTCCAGTCATGTGATCTGTTCTTTTTTTCCTGGTTCTCAGGTTCGCGAGGTGATGAGTACTGCTACATCAATAATCCGTATGCAAAGCTCTACACAGTGGTCGTCCCTGTTGGCGTTATTTTGCTTTACAACTGCGTCGCATTGTGTCACACTGTGATTCATATAAAAAACGTTCGAAAGGTTAGTGTACTTCACATTTCTTTGCCTTCCTTCACCCTTATGTGTCCGACACATGTATGCAGTTTATTTTCAGCCATTATACGCACCAGGCTAGAAAAAACATATTTCCCACAGTTTTTTAATTATCTTATAACTGAGACACTAAACAGCCTTGATTTTGAATATAAGTTATGTAATGGTTAAATGAGTTTAATTTATTAATGTGGTCAGTCTTTGAGCGTCTAGCAGCTTTCATTTCGTCGAATTACACAGTTTAGCTGAGTTATTGTGTAATCGAGTGAGCATTCAGTCTGTTATCAGAATTTCCACTAACAGGTGATGGCTGTAGTTTTATAGCCGAAATATACAGTAAAAAAGCATGTTTCAAAATCTTCTCGTCATATCATTAACTGAGTTACGTGGTAAAAAAAGATTATAAATTTGTCCCAAAGGTTGAATTAGCTCAAGAGACCTTGAAGTCCTTGATTTATTATATATTCAGTTCATTTTAATTATTTATTGAATCCAACTTATTATTATCCAATGTTGTTTCAGCAAACATCGACAGTTGCCAATCAAAGCCATCAGCCTGGCCTGCCTGTAGTCTGCATCAAAATGACGTCAGTGATTGGTGTGTCGTGGATCCTGGGATACCTCGCCTCATCTCAATCCACCGCATTTCTATGGTACCCGTATGTTGTTCTCAACAGCCTCCAAGGTTAGCTTTTTGAAGTCGCGCACCAGTGATCGGTTCATAAATACACGAAGGAATGGAGGGATTGATAGCTCTTCATTGATGGTCCCTCTACGGCCCTATTCCCTTCTAGGATATGTTTGCAGAGCTAGCAGGTCCAAATGCTAGGTGCAATATAAATCCCACAATGCCTAATATTCGGCGTTTGACTTAAAATTTTGTCTTTTCACGTCAAATGTATTCTTTTCAATGTCATAAAAAATTCAAAAGGAACAATTTAGCGTCAAATGCGGGAAATAAGGCATTGTGGGGTTCAGTAATAAAAGGGTTTTATTCTTTTGATTGAAGTTATATATGAAATCTTATTGTCCTTTTCTCCTCTAGGGTTCTTGATTTTCATCTCATATGTACTGAACAGGCGGGTTCTGAAGATGTACAAAGCAATTTTACTGGAAATGCGAGGCAAACGCAACTCCGTGGCCAGCAAACGAAGCACAAACATGAGCCCTGCTTGATAGGAGGGTATGCAAACAATTGGGGATACTTGTTTCGCGTAAGTTAAGACGAATAAAGACGCAGCTATGCTATGCGGGTTTTGGAATGATCATATTTCATTCTTGAAGTAATGTACAAAGCCGATATCTAAGATGGACGCAGATAAATACTCTTGGTACCTTAATGTCTACATATGACTAAAGATTGAACATATATACCTGTAAACACTGATCAGAATTCTCGTGACAACATCAACAGTCCCTTTCACAGTTCCCTGCGCCCCTGTGGGGGGGACTCCCACATATGGACTGTACAGGGATGATCCGCTGAACAGGGTATGGTTTTTCGAGCTTCTTGTCATAAACAGGGTATGCAATTTCACTCAAGTTCCAAGTTCTTCCTGAGTTTCCTGTCATATTCAGGGTTTCTACTTTCGTATTGACCGAAACTGGTTATTATGGTCGTAAAAAAACGATACGCGAGATGACATGATAATTGAAACAGGAACTCAGCGCAATAAATTATATCTATTGTCATTAACAGAGTCTACAAATTTGAGTTTTTTTGTCATAAACAGGGTACCCCTTTCAGAATCCCAGCGGAACACCCCTACCCAAATTCTGGCGGAGTACCCCCCCTCCCCGGGCCCTGCGCCATCTTGAAAGGTAGCCGTGCCTTGGTATCGAAGGAGACGAACGGTGAGCTTGTATTGATAGAGACCATTTTAACACCTTGGACAATTATTCACGCGTGTCTCGTCTCGCTTCGATGCAAAGGCACGGCTACCTATCAAGGTGGCGCAGGGAACTGCGAAAGAGACTATTGGAAGTTCGAAACGTGACCTTGACTTACGTGACGTGGCTTTGTTTATTATTTCCTAGGGCTCTTAAGAGTCACGTCAGTCGTATGAAAATTAACGACTTCCGGGTCCAAAAATGGGATAAGGTTTGGTTTATTTTTATTTATTTTTTGCGCGTTCGATGAACTGACTTGGATCCAGATCAGTATGCGTCACAACTTTCAGTCCGTACCCTGATCACGTGATTTTCAGACGACTCTTAAAAGATTCATTAGCAAATCTTGCGCTTCGTTTGAAGTAAAAAAAGCTTTCATGGATATATATTGTAAACTGTACCATCAATCGCATGTTGCAAATAGAACTGCTCAATGACAAAGTGTACTTTGAAAACAAACATATGTAGGTAGAAGTTCATGCCTGATCGTTTATGTACACTGCCGGTGAAGTTTATAAGGATAGTTTTTTGCACAATAGATCCTTAAAACGTATTTATGGGATTAATACTAAAGGTTTAATATTTAAAAAAACCAAGAGGACATACTCCTGTATTTCATCTGCTCTCTTGATTAAACTCTATTTGTTTAGGTGAAATGCTTTCCCATTCCAGACCACTCGTGTTCTTTCCAAGAGTGTCATTTCTTTGTTTACAACTTTATACACTTATTTCAATAAAGTTAGTCACCTGAAAAGCTACAAAGCTGAGACCGACAAGGATTATGGGTAGATACATTTTACATGTTTCAACCGCTTGAAAACTGTTGATGGACTTGAGATCTTCTACCAGTTACAAGTTAAYCTCCTCTGAGCATCCTCAACTGCTGCAGTTTGTGTCAAAAGCTTTACTTGTTGGATATAAAACATTTCCCATGATTCTCAGCGATCACAGCTTTCTAGGTTTTTGGTGACTAACTTTATTGAAATAAGTATATACAACTCAAACAGAATGTGATTCTCTAGAGAATGACAAAAACTAGTGGTCTGAAGAATCTGAATCTGAGAAATCAGAAATCTTGATTCTATGTTTATGCTCCAATAAAAATTATATTACTCCGAGCCAAAAGCGCAGGCTCTACAACTAAAGTTTATATGCGATCTAGTTATTCCGTGCTCCGTTCTGTAATAAAGCGAAGAAGAAGTGCGAAGAGACGAGCCTTAGGAATGGACCATTAGAAATGATAGTAAAAGAGATCAAGCACGCACAAGACAAATATCGCGCATCAACCTCTCCTTTCCCAAAAGAAATATCGAGCAAACACACACACAAAAAAAGGATTGCATGCAGTTGTTAGAAAACAAATAAACTGCAACATAGTTCCTGCAACCCCCCCCCCCCCCCCCCCCCCCCCCCCCCCCCCCTCAATCATCTAATGGTCCATCCTTAGATTTCGATGTGTTACAATACCTGTCTAACAATAATCCATTAGCGTTGTAATGGCTTTTGTGTAACAACTAGTGTAGAAATAAATGTGTCTAACAAACTTTTCGCCACGTGTCTTTTTTTGAGTGGTAAACGCCGTTCATCGATAATAACTCTTGCAGCTACAAGATTGAAGACTGTTAGCTCACCTATAAAGTAAGGAAGGATTTGGCGGGAACATTCGCGCCTAAACCCCCTATACCCCCAGCCCTGTAACTCTTGCTACGCCACTGAATCATGATGGTAGATTAAACGAGACATATTCAATTTGTTTTATAAAGTTTTATTTCAAGTAACAACATTGATATACGGTAAGAACGGTATGGATGTCCATTCAAGCAAAAGAGAGAGACTGGAGCCCCGTTTCTGACACATCGTAAGTCACGTGTCAGACTATCGAAAGTGGGCTATTACTCGTTCTATCATTCTCTGGAAAAAGATATCCCGTATCAAAACACTAATATGACTTAGAGTAAGGGATAGCTTTCTTCTGAGGTTTCTCCTCCAAGGTTTCAATCTTCCGTCGTGATTGGTTAAAATATAATTGTAACAGCGAGTAGCAAAAGTTTGAGAATTCTTACTGGAAGATAAAAACAGCTAATGACCCCCAGTGAATCGCCTCTTTAACGAAAACATTATTACCCGAGTTCCAGCTATCTTTGATCTCGCAGACTTTTTAACATTGAAATCGAGATATATGTACACATAAAAGATCTAATTTGGATTAATTCATCCTGTTTCCAAGGGGTGTATTGGAAAGTCCAACTTTTCCCAAAGCCATTTTCTAGATTTATGAGAAACATATTTAGAGTTGTCATCAAAAAGCTGGTATTCTTTTAGTCCGTCATCTGCTAAGTGCTGAATCGCTCTGCACGCTTTTTCTTCTTGGCCTGAAGACAAAAATGACAGTTTAGCATATATTGATCAACCAACATTTCTTCCATACACATCTCTTATACATTTATGAATAACTTGTATACTGAACAGCGCTGTTGTAGGCTGTAAACTCCTAATAGCGCAGCGCAACCGTGACGTCATAAAAACGAAGACAAAGGCGAAATTCGGACAAACAAACTTACAAGTTTACTTTCAGCAGATAATTTTCACAGCCGATCGCAGTTTATCTTAGTTTATATGGGTTATTATTGTAACTTTAAGTAAAAATAATACAATCGGTTCGTATAATCCTCGTAGCGGTTAAACAGAATGCAATGTTTGTCCGAATCTTTAAGCTATTTTTAGAATCAGTGCGCTGCGCTATTTCTAATTCAATCTACAGTAGCAAGGACCTAGATGAAAATTACTTAGCATAAATCTAATTACCCTAGCAAATTGTGTATTTTTTAAATTATTTCTTAAAGTATGAGAAGAGAACCAGAAACTCAACACAAAATAAAACTTCAGGATCTGATTCCAAGTTGCACTGGTTAGACACTATGATGAAGTGTTACTGTATAACATCCATGCTTCAAGCATGTTTCTGGCAATAAAATACATCATTGCTTTACTGTCTTCAAGCTACTGCCTGTTTGCACTCCTCTTACCTCTATAGAATCATCAGCTGTGATCAATGATGCTCCAAAACGTTCTTTTCTTTTCAATAATCTGTCCTGGTCTTCAATCTAGGACCACAAACAAAGAAAAATACAATTATCTTCAAGAATATAATTATTGACTAGTATACACCTAAATCCAAATTGGCGCATGACCAGTTGAAAATGAGGCATCCAGGGCGAAAATTACAGTTTTTTCTTATAAATTGATGCTACAAAATTGTCGCGTTCCTGAATGTAAGAAAAAAAGAAAGACAGAAAAAGTGAACAAGTGTATACTTTGCATTGACACCATATTATTTCTTTGCATTTGTTCCTGGATGCCTCGTTTACATGTAATACACTCGGCCATGTGCCATTTTGTACTTAGGTGTATTGCCATAGAATTGCTATAAGAGTCGGTGGTTCCTTTTATGACACTTTGCAACTTGTGAATAAAAACTGCATGTGTGCACTTTTCATGAAGCAATCTATGTCTGCCATATCCAGAGATCGAAAGCGTTAGCTGACAGCAAGCTGCAGCAAAGGGCTGCAAAAACTTGTTTTGAACTTTGTAAACTGAGTCTGACTAAAGCAATAAAATTACTATTGCAGTCAAGGCTACGTACATGTATTTTAGAAATGAATATATCTGGGTTTTTTTCATTATCATTAGACAAGTATCTAGTCATCAACAAACTTTGCTTAATATAATAAAATAATAATAATAAATACCTTGGAAACAACAGGTGATACTGCACCAAACCTTTCAGCACGTTTTTTAAGCTTGGCTAGGTCACCAGACTGGTAAGATCAAATGATTAAATTATACCATTAAAAACAAACATACTTCATGGGAGTTTCTCCAAGTTCTACAGGCTTCCTCCCTCAACTTCTAAATTCATATTCAATGATGAAAAAGGGGTGCAAGTTTGAAAGCCACTCACTATTAGCCGTTCAGAGGTGGAGGAAAAATCTGGGCCAAGTTGTTATTGCAGTGTATCATGGGGTTGTCCAGGGGACATATTTTCAAGATGATAAATGAGAAAAGAAAATTTCCAGTTATTCTTACCTCTGGAGAAGAAATGCTGGATGTGTTGGAACCAAACCTAAAAAAAACAATCAAAGCTCGAAAATGTTTCTTTTTATATGAGAAAAAGATGTGGGAAATGATATGAAATACTAATGACAGTAGGTAGCAATGTTTGATTGATCTTATACCTTTGGGCACGTGATAGTTTCTTGTTTTCCTCACTTGCTGGACTACCAAACCTTTTCATTCTTTGAAGTTTTCTCTAAAATTCACAACAACAACAACAACAACAAAAAGATATATGATATACACTAATTGCTAATTATCAATGCACTACACTGGAACATACTGTTCTACAGTATGTCATTAGCTTGAAAAAATGTCAACAAAAACACAAAAAACAAAAAACAAAAACAAAGAAAAATCAAAATACATAAACTTTTTTCATATTCTAGAATACATTTTTTAAGGTCATATGAAAACAATGTGATAGTCAAGTAAGATGCATAAGTTTTGCCTACCATACTACTGACATATAGTTTAAAATAGAAATGACACCATTTACCTCTTCTTCTGTTAAAGGCTTTGTTATTACAGTCTTGGCAGTCACTGCTTGTTTTCTTTATAGTCAAAAAAAACATGTTAAAATATAATCTAGATCTTAACATATTAATCTAGAGAAATGTAATGGTATTTTTAAAAAGTTTGTTCAACTTACATGGGAGTTTGTACTGTCTTCTTTGTTTGAACAACTTCTGGAAGAGGATCCTTATTTTCAGCACCCTGTAATATTTGAAGCAATTAAAAATTAATATTGTCAAAGCATTAAAATACATAATTAAGTAATATTGCAAGTGTATACTGTAGCTAATATATCTCAATGCTGAAAGCTTTATAGAATGTGACCTGCCGCCTGAATCATATGCAAAGCAAATTATTGAAAGTCTTTTAGAAAACAAAATTTAAACTGTGTAAAGCAATACCTATTCCAGACAAAAAATTCTTTTTGACTGGTCACATTGACTGGTCACATGGACTGGTCCCGTGGACTGGTCCCATGGACTGGTCCCATGGACTGGTCCCATGGACTGGTCCCATGGACTGGTCCCATGGACTGGTCCCATGGACTGGTCCCGTGGACTGGTCCCATGGACTGGTCCCATGGACTGTTCCCGTGGACTGGTCACATGGACTGGTCGCATGGACTGGTCGCATGGACTGGTTGCATGGACTGGTCACATGGACTGGTCACATGGACTGGTCCCGTGGACTGRTCACATGGACTGGTCACATGGACTGGTCCCATGGACTGGTCACATGGACTGGTCCCGTGGACTGGCCCCATGGACTGGTCCCATGGACTGGTCCCATGGACTGGTCACGTGGACTGGTCACGTATATACAATTCCCATAAAATGTGAATGTAAACTTACGTTGAGTGGAGTTACTTTATTTGACTCTGGTTTCTGTTCTAAGGATTCTTCAGCCAAGACATCATCGCTTATTTCTTCCTCTTCATCATCGCCAGTTGCTGGTTCCAAGTCATCCTCAACTTCTTCATCGCCAGCATCTTCACTGTGGTCTACTTCATGTCCTTTGAAAATCAATTTAGTTTTGAGTGTATTGTAATGTGAGTGTGGATTAAGAGGGCATCTGGCTACATGTAGTCACCTTTTCAGGTTAAAATTCAACATTCATGCCTATGTAATTAATGGGAAGTATATTCAATAATTACACCATGGTATTTGTCAGGCTATCTATAGTGGAAATAATGTTTTTAGTAAACACCTTCATAATTATTATTAGCTTGGATAAACTTTAGAAAATAGGTGTCTAAATCAAAAAGTTTTTTTAATCATCAAAATCATTATGTTTCGTTATCTTAGTTCCACTTCTGGCCAGACATTACCCGACAACTGACTGTTAGTTAATTATTGAATTTTCCTTGGCTAATATGAAAAGTAGAAAGTTTAAATTATACTTTTTTTCAAAATCCACATTGGTAAAATATGGCTAATACATCCACTTCCGATAATAAAGCAGTAACTGCTTATTTTTGTTGTGGTTTGAGATATGTACGACATGTAAGACATAAGGTTAAATGACAGCCGACAATTATACTAGTGGCTCAACCAATCAAATTCTATGACTCCATTCTGATTGTATAGAATAGTCAGATATGTGGGAGATTCTTGCAGGCTCTCCCTTCTCCCTCCCTCTCCTCAATTCCGTCCTCCCCAAACCCCCTCCGAATTACTTAGGGCTACTATATATGCTAGCTGTTATTTCAAACCCTGAATATAGTATACTGTGGAACAGCCTCTGTAGTATTTCTCGTAATACAGTGAATGTAACTCTGATTGCATGATCTCCTCATAGTCATGAAAAACCATGTAAGCCGTGCATGAGCTGTAAGACAGTACTGCACATTTATTACAAAAACTGCTCTCAACAACTACGCTTTAGTACATCACAACTACAAAGTACCTTGTTGTCGAAGGAATTCTTTGAGTCGTTCTTTGAGGTCGTTTTTGTTTCCCTTTATATCTAAACCATGGACAGCGAGCTCTTTTCTGAGCTCTGCAACCTAAAACATGTAAGAACATACAAGAATGGATGCTGCATTTGATAATCTAGACACGTGTCATTAGAGTATTCCTCTTTGGAATAACATCGAAAAAAAGGATTAAAAGATCGAACCTATAACAGAGTAACATAGATTAAATGTTGGAAGTATTATATGAGAAGAATTGATGCATAAATTTAGTAGTTTAACCAAGTCTTACCTTCATTTTCTTGACATTCAAAGCGTCCGCCATCTTGATCAACAATCAACTACGCATGTGCAGTACTACCCAACGGCATCTTGGGATAGAAAGAGCCTGCGATCTTTGACAAGTGATACCGCTGAAAATGGCTGACAAGTTTCAAGGAACAGGAAACAATGGTTAAAAACTACCAATTATATTATTGATTAGGCTTATTTTTCCCAAATATCTATTTTTCACGATGAGAAGAGGTCCTGGGGGAGTAGGTGCTATCAACAAACAGCGCCTTGCTAAGGTATGTATTCAATATATTTTGAACTTCGAAATGAAATCAGATGAGCTTAAACAAGCTTACAGTACTTATAGACTGGTGGGCCGAACCCCATATCGTAAAGGTACGGGCATTTCTGTCTGATTTATGGCAACATACTTATTCTTGTTAATTAAAGTATGCTGATTTCAAAAACCAATGTTGCCAAGTTGGATTTTAACGCTAAAGCTATGTTTTTAAGCATTTAAAATGTGACGTCAAGACTGAGCATGAAAACGAGGCTTTAAAGTATTTCATGCTTTGGCCTCTGCAGGGACGACTCAGATGAACTTTTATACATCTCCAATGAAGCAAACAATCATTCTAAACAATATCAGATGCTTTTAGGCGGAAATGGCAGGTCACGTGACAAATCGTGAATGCGGAAGTAAAAATTGTTAATTCAATAAGTTACATCAAATTTTTTCAGCAGAATTGAAAAGTTTTAAACGTTTTTTGAAAGTATTGATACAATAACATCCTAAAACTTGTTTACTAAATAAATCAGACAATTACGTGACCCATGTCATYATAAGGAATTATCGATATGTCGTCTACACTTTAGCGCATATATTTCTACTTACCTGCTGTACCTAGTCCACCAGCTATTTTAATAAACATTGATGCATTCGTTACTTGTGGAATTTTTGCAACTACAAAGTCCAGTGCACACAATTTTTGACTTTCGACACTTGCATCGTTGTGTTGCACAGCCAGTCTTGCAATTGCAGGAGATCATTTCTACGCAAGCATTGGGAATCGGGTCCAAAGTCATAAGAACTGGTACCAGGAAGTCGTCTTTGATCGTCCATCCTGACTCCTCTGGTTGAGGTAATATTGGACGTGCAATGTGAGCTTGACGCCATATCATAGCTTGATAATGCGCTCTCATTGTATGGTGCTTCAATGCGTCGCTCGTAGGCGGGAGCTTGTCTGGGGCCACAAATTTGGCAAATAAGTTAAAGCGAGCCATGTCAGTTGAATCTGCCTCTGTCTTGTATATCTTACACACAAATCTCTCCACACCGTTTAGTTCATCCAGTCCCAGCGTTCCCGCGCCTAGCGGAAGGAGGAGCTCAAAGTGTTCWTGAAAAACTTTCCATGCGGTCKTTTTTGAATGGCCACACAAAAAAGACRTTGTATCACACCCAGTGATTGCATGGAATTGTAAAAGAGCATGCTCTGAAGCTGGAGGAAGGTCGTTAAATACCTCTTGTAAGGGGATATACTTCGGTTTCTTGGAGGTTCCAGCCCAAAGCCAGACTTTTGAAGTGATGTGTTCATTATGAGCCAAAAGAAGAAGTAGAACATCTGTATCCCGTGCCGATATGACAATATTGTCCACTGTCCCTTCTTGGTGTATGGCATGCAAAACAAAACGAGTGTCTGCTTCTTCGTGAGTAGATCGCAAAGCTTCTACATTTACTCTACTGTCAGAACATTGCACTTCTTCTTCATCATGAAACCCACCAGAAACTATAAGGGTTTTCTGTGGAGGTGCTTGTGCGATTAATTCTTCTGAAAGAAATCGAGCTAAATTGGCTTTGTTATCGCCAAGTGCAAGGAAGTTTGACCAGTTAGTAGGTAATGGCACGTTTCTTCCTTCAATCACTCTTCGAACTGAACGTGTGTTCTTTGAACGTCGAGCCCTTGTACAGGCTTTGATGGACATCTTTCTATATCTATCAAATAAAACGTCAACTCTTTCAAAGATAGACCCTGCCTTGGCGAGCACGACTCTAACAAAAGTGTCAGAGAAGTCACCAAATGTCTTTGCTTTTTCTGGCTTGCCTATTGCTGCTACTAATGCAAAGCCATCGATCATCAACGCTGACCGTCCTTCTAGAGTAATAGAGCCTGGGCAGTCAACTCTTTCTGTGAGAACATCAGCTAATATTGATTTATTTCCAGTTCTCAAAGTTTGGTTCATCTCGGCGAGAGAGACAGGTACCGGCATTAGTTCATGCTGTAAAATTGCCTGCATGTCAACTTGTCGACCAGCCTCGTATGCTGTAACCAGTCGGTAAAGTAGAGACACAGGAAATGCGCTCGATTGCTTCCTCGTATTTAGAGTCGCTGAGGTCATATCTAGCCTTTGCAGCTTCCTGTAATCTATTAAGGCCTCTTATGGTACCACTTTGCAGATCTTCAACACTATCAGTTAAGCAAATGATGCATAATTCTTGTTCAGAATGCTCTTCTTTACGCTTACTGCATGACGCCATTTTCATTCTAGATGTAACCGCTGACCAAACGATAGCTAGTTTTTTTTAAGTACTCACTATTTTATGTCTTATGTTTAATAAAAGGTAAAAGGGAATTAAAAAGGATCTTAGCATTATCTAGTTAAGTTAGTATATTTTTATTTTTATTTTGACTATGAACACAACCGTATCTTCCAACGCCATTACTTCCGCATTCACGATTTGTCACGTGACCTGCCATTTCCGCCTAAAAGCATCTGATATTGTTTAGAATGATTGTTTGCTTCATTGGAGATGTATAAAAGTTCATCTGAGTCGTCCCTGCAGAGGCCAAAGCATGAAATACTTTAAAGCCTCGTTTTCATGCTCAGTCTTGACGTCACATTTTAAATGCTTAAAAACATAGCTTTAGCGTTAAAATCCAACTTGGCAACATTGGTTTTTGAAATCAGCATACTTTAATTAACAAGAATAAGTATGTTGCCATAAATCAGACAGAAATGCCCGTACCTTTACGATATGGGGTTCGGCCCACCAGTCTATTAGTACTTTATTGTTTTGAAATTTTTATTGAAGCTTCTTTTTTCTTCTTCTTCCTGTTTCTTCAGGCCAAGTATGCTGAAAAAAGAACAGAAATAGCAGACATCCAGCTGTCTCAGGTTAATAGGAACCATTCACGAATAATACTATGTCTTCATTAAAAGCACTCTTTTACTCCGACGAAGGACTAGCGTCCGAAACGTCAGAAAGTTTTTTCATCTTTTCACGGTGTATAATTTACCTTTTCATCATTACTGTTTCATTAGAAACACCGACGCAGCTCACACTAGTTTCTAGCTAGTTATATCTTTTCATTCACGAAAAAATATATAGGCTTGAGTTATCCACACCAACCAAATATATGTAGCCTACCAGGCACTAGGCTAGGACCAAGGCACTTGAGCTTTCAATGCAAATTGAAACTCCTGGGGAAGCATACAGTATTATCACTGCCACAGTCATGCTTGATTGTGAACAGTGGATGGGGATATTGAATGATAGATGTAATATAATAAAAATTGGGCGTTATTCCCTCCCTCACTCCCTTTCAATTACTTTCATTTTTATAATCAATAATGTAATAGCCCATAATGAAATAGCAGATCATTGGATTTCTCCTTTTTTAAATTGTTGTATATGTATCACATATTTATGATTGTAAGTGTGCTTGAATTATTCTAACTTACCAGATGGGAAAGCAGTTGGATTCGTTCAAGAACTACCTTGAAGAATTTGCAGCCAAGCATAAAACAGATATCAAGAAAAATCCAGAATTCAGGGGTCATTTCCAGAAAATGTGTGCAAGAATAGGAGTGGACCCCTTAGCATGTAAGAATCTAAAATTACTAACATGATTGAGGAAAAGGGGTTAACTATGTATGGAAGGTACATTAGGGTAGTGCACAGGGATTAAAAGCATGTATGTTCCTCTGATTTTTATCTTTAGTGCATGGAAACTACTGTGCTACTCTCCTCTCCTTCTTTCCTACTCCTAAGTCCCTAGTTCTCCATAGTTTACACAGTATCTGTGAGACCAGGGTGCTAAGGAATGAAAAATATGGAAAATACCTAGTGTTTTTGTTATATTAAAAATAAATTGTTTGGGCCTAAAGAATTGTAATCAGATAATTTGCACAGTATTATTATCATCATTATTATCATCATCATTATGATTATGTACTGTTTAAAAAACGAGTAGGAGTGTTTTATCAGGTATAAAAGCATGAGGCGTAGCCGAGTGCTTTTATACCTGATAAAACACGATCTACGAGTTTTTTGAACTGCTTAAAACACTCATGAACAATTCATAAGATTTTGGTTTAACTGTAGCCACCATACACATCACGAACATGGATTTTTATACTTCGATAGAGATTTGACGTCACGGGCATGCGCAACCAGATTCAATAGAAGCTCCCACACGTTGGATATTGCGTGCCAAGGCAAAGATAGGCACGTTAGTCAAAGATCATTAGGGTTGACTATGACCTTGATGAAGCTCTATGTCTTCATCTAAACTTGGATGCATACTTCATCCCTGATGAAGTCATCCTCATAGTATTCGAGTGGTCTTTATATAAAGATCACATGTGTCTTTATATAAAGACACATGTGTCTTTATATAAAGACACATGTGTCTTTATATAAAATCACTTGAATACTAATGAAGAGGACTTTATCGGGTATAAAGGTTCATGCATGTGACATGTATGGTGGCTCCAATTGGACCATAAGCTTATGAATTATTAATGAGTGTTTTAATATCATTTATTAGTTCATTAGGTGACTTCTTTCATTTCTTTATTTCCTCAGCCAGCAAAGGATTTTGGGCAGAACTTCTCGGTGTTGGAGATTTTTATTATGAGGTAAGACATTGTGTAATATAAATTTCATGTGTGTGTTTGGATGACACAAGTCTTCCTAGGATACCAGACACAGATCAGAGATGGAAACCAGCCAATCAGAATGCATGATTATTAAGATACCGGACTGGTAACAAAAATAAATAATACATATAATAATTATCAGAAATTTCCCTTAGGATGTCTAATTTTCTCTACTTTGTCTTGTAGCTTGGTGTTCAGATTGTTGAGATCTGTATTGCTACAAGACCAAGAAATGGAGGTGAGCTCAATAGATTTCTGAGTGATAAACGAAATAGAAAAATAACATATAATAGAGCATGTGCATGTTACATCATAACCACCATGTTGGCTGATGATAACAAAGCATTCCTCATAAGCTCTTCTCTTGTTAGATCAACCATCACTGTGGTCGTTTCATTGTTATTTATATCTCAAGGAATGTTGAGTCACATGGTTGCACACACTGACAGTACATCCAATGTTTTTTTCTTAAACAGGTCTAATTGCATTAGACGACTTACATTCCAGGATCTTAAAAACAAGTAAAGCAAGACAAGATGTTACAGAGTAAGTCAATGAGATCAGTCTGCATTGTTTAGTTGAGAAATCTGATTTGAGCAATTCAAATTTCAAATTTGGTATTTCCAGGAAAGCGCTGTTATGATACTAGTTGCTGCAACGTAATGCCATTTTCATTCTATGCTAACCAGAGATAGATTTGCTGATGAAACAAAGCAACTTGGCACTAGAACTATTGTGATAATAGTTGGCAAATTAACATCACAATGCTGATGTTTATAAACACCAACTAGCGCTGTAAGACAGTTAAGTAATATTGATTGTTTTCCATATCTTTGTTTATGTTAGAGATGATTTGGAGCGAGCAATCAAGAAGCTTCATGCTCTAGGCAGTGGATTCCAGGTGATTCCAGTGGGTAAAAAGAGGCTTGTTCAGTCAGTGCCAGGAGAATTAACAATGGATGATACGGCTACTCTTCAACTAGCACAGGTTTATATTTCTTTTAATATTATTATACTTAATCCCAGATGTGCAAAGCATATCTCTTTTACCTCTGTCACCACCTAATGAACTTGACCTGTACTCCTGTATTTTAGATGACTCAGGTATACTTCTGTGGCTTAGATAGCTCAGACAGTTAGTACATTGTGCCAGTGTCACAAAGTTAATGGATTTGAGTCCTGTTCTAAGCCTGATTTTTTAAATCCTCTCTGTACTTTCAGCAGCAATGCTGCACAGCATTGGCACAGCATACTGTATTTTATGATGTTTAAATCTTGCTGCGTTGAGGATGACCACACTTATTATTATCTGTCACCTCATTTTGGAGAAAAAGAGAACATTTAAAGAAATATAAAATAGAACAAGTTCTTCAGTCTGTTTAAAAATATATTTACAATATTATAAAGAGGAAAGTTGGTGTCAAAATCAACCTTAAAGTGTAAATAAGTACTGTAAATGTGTGTTGAGATTATCTAGAGCAGAGGGTCAAGGTGTTTATCTGGTGAGAATATTGAGGTTTGGCCCTGTTATGGCTTGACATTCATACACCACGCCACAGGGTAGCACAGTTTGTCATGTTGGGTACACTACAGCAGAGCAATGACCGTAGATGACTTGCCCTTACCATTAACATGTATATATAGTATATAATATGTATATATGTGACTTGTATTTCAGGGCACTGGTTTCACATCAGTTGAAGCACTACAGAAGGAACTTGGCTGGGATGAGGAAAGAGCTGTTCGTATATTGGTAAGTATTGCTTGTAGGTCAGACTTGTATGTAGGATTGCAGTATACGGATCACATCTGGATTGTTATATTACTGTACTTTGTTTTCCCCAGGACCACATGGTACATGAGGAGTTAGCCTGGGTTGATGACCAAGCTGATAATCAGAGGCTTTACTGGTTTCCTGGCCTCTTTGCTGACAACTAATCTCATATTAATGGGATGGGTTTGGGTGGGGTGGTGAGATAAGAAAACTAAGTTCTCAAAGACAATCTGTAGCAGTCTTGTTAGTTCCAAGTTGAGTTTGCATTTATAAGGAAGATAACGTCAACAATCAGAAAATACCAGGGCTACCCAATATTTTCCTAAAACTGTGGCAAACAGAAAAGAAGTAAAGCTTACTGTAAATATTCTATTAAAATTGAAATATTGCATCGTGTTGCTATCGTTAGTAGTTTTCTTTCGGACAGAGATTCCAACAATTCCACATAAACCCATGACTTAATTGGCTTTATTTTATACATAGGGAGATGTTCTTATCAAATTTCCCTGTGTGAAAAACAAGTTCGCGACTTTTTTTAGTCAATCAGAAAAGCGAAACGATTTGTCACACGTGAAAAAAGCGTTTCGTCCAATCGCAAACCACTGTCGAAGCGAATCGTGTTTTCRCGGTCGTCGCGGGTAGCTTTGTCGAGCAGCTTTCAAATACTTTCAGTGTATTCAAGTTGTTCGTAGTTCAAATTAAACTTATCTAATCAAGAGCTAGGAGATATTTGTGGGGATGGCTGAACAATCAAGAAGATTTTTGTGTCTCTTGACAAACCTATAGACAAGTTTATCGAAGACCAAAAAAAACAAAAAAATAAACAGAATTTACACTCTGTCAAAACACGAAGAGATGTAAGTTTGCTGACTGAGTTTCTCAACTCCAAAAATGAAACGAGAAGAGTCGAGAAAATCCCGCCAGAAGAGCTTAATGGGTATATCAGTGAATTGCAGTACTATCTCAAACGAACAACAGAAAAACATGTCTTTGATTCTAAGTGGAAATACTACAAGTACGTCTATAGAAAAAAGGCCAGTTTACAAAGTGCAGTGGCCAACGAGTGCCGTGAATCTTCATTCATGAAAAGTTCTAGTTTCCCTGCAGCAGGTCCTTTCAGTGGAGCAGTTTTTCAATGAGGACAGTTTGACATGACTATAAAAACTTTAAACAAGTCGCCGACTTTCACCGATAACTCATTCAAATCAACAGAGTCAACCCATTGCTTCATGACGCATCAAGCGTGTGTTTGAATCGTCGAAACGAAGACAGCCCTCCGTTTTGACAAACTAAGTTTATAAGACTTCATTGACCACTGATTTTGGTTGCTTATTTCGTTATTTTCTAAAGAACAGTTTCATATTTGGTTTAGAATTTAAACGTTTTGCTATTTACTTTGTACCAGATATGTTTTTTGATTTAAATAGTGATATTTTTACATGTAGCAAGCTTTTAGCTTTTCGGAGGAGAATTTTAAAATACAGCAGTTTCGTATTTTTTTAGAGAACCCATTAAAGGTGAATAAATAAAAACAACAAAATCTCAGTCTGTATGAACTAAATAAATTACAGCATGGAAAGCGCTTTGTACGGGATTTTCCCATTCGTTGATTTTGTATCTGAAATCTCACTCTTTCGCTTCGCTCACTCGTTCGATTTCAGATACTTCACCAACTCGTGCGAAAATCCCGTACGCGCGAGCTTTCCATGAAGTAATCTCTATGTTTGGTGCATATCACATAACGCCCGTATCATCATGTTTGGTGTCGTGGTCGTTCACGCCTTTTGTAGAGGGCTATATAATGAATTAAGAAATACACGGCAGAAACATGGCGACTCGACAAGTTGCACGTCAGTGATTTCATTAGCAAGAAAATACTGCTGCCAAAAGTCGTGTAAAGTTTTATATTGAAAGGATCATTTGGTAGACAGGGCTTTAACTTCACAAAGAAAAATTTCCAATTTAGAGATAAATATTCCAGAAATTCTTACCAATTAGTAATGCACTAGTCAATTGAAACCCCCACTCCCCGACCCCCGCGAAATACCGGGGAATTTAACATTTGAGTGGTATTAAAATCAGACATTTCCCCCGGTAGTCGGGGGCACATTCTGTCAAAACCCCCGCTATTGTGGCCCCGTTATTTTGGTTTAGTAGTCAACAAGAAACACATTTCACGCCAACTCCAAATTCTTGTGCTACACAAAGCCAATCGTTGTGTGTTCCATGCACTAAATATTCAATGCTCATTATTTTCATAAGCTCTGAACCTCAAATCGTGCGAAAACGTTTAGGTTTAGCTGAGAATTTAATGGTATTAAATTGAAAATGAACAATGCTCGTAAATATTGGGAAGCAGTAGTTTCAATAGATTAATCATGATCTCATTCTACATTCGAACTGACCGAAACGATTGAACAAAACCCGCGTATAAGAACCTGGGTTTTTTAAGAACCTGTTAGGCTAAAATTCTCACTTTAAGACCCCTCCACATAAAAACCTATTAAGGCTGCAATTTTAAGAAAGGTTCTTATCACTGTGGAGTTCAGTGTAAAAGTGTATAGGTAGAAACTGCTATAAGTTTGTTTGAGCATGTGTTTTGTGTA